TAGGATATTTGTACTTCAAAGAGGAGCCTTGTGCTGAATGATAGCATTAGCCTATTCAGTCAAAAATATTTTTTCTGTACATTGATCTATCTTTGTACTGTGCAAAGATCTTTTAAAAACTTAGCATAAGATGAGACTTGTTTGATTGCATCCAACAAGGGGATGTTAATCTTTACTTTCTTAAACAATTCAAAAATTTTAGCATGATTGTTCAATGATTGAGGTTTCTTGACTTGTTGAGAAAATAGATAAAGAAATAGGATTTGATTTGTCTTTCTTGTCAGGCAATTTTGTGTCCTTTTGAACAGTAGGTCTAGACTTAACTAGTTCATTTATAGGAATTGACTTAGCCATTAATTTAAGAATTTTGGTTTTGATGGTCTTGTCAATCACTTTACCACTTCTTAACATGGTAACTGCTTGGACTTGGTCCTGAGAAGATTTAGATGATGAAACATTAACACATGTTTAACCTTGTGGAGGTTTAGGATGAGATGAGAATTTTTCTTTCTCTATTGTGCTCAAAGACTGGGTCAAATTAGCTATGTGACTTTTGATATCATCAATGGTCTGTGATGTTTGGGCTTTGAAGTCATTTAATGTATGAGTAGATTGAGTATTGAAACTTATTTCACTTTGAATGAACTGATTCAAGGTATATTCTAGACTTCGTTTGTGTGGGGGCTAGTAAGGTTGATATGGTTGTTAGGCCTGAGGTTGTGGTGGAGGTGGACCTTATTGCTTATTCATAGGTTGTGTGTTTCTCTAGTTGAAATTTGGGTGGTTTCGCCATCCTGAATTATGGGTCTCAGAATATGGGTTAGAATAAGGCTTGTTAAAGTCAAAAATGACATTAGACTATTCCATCACGACTTTCTTAAATACTAGGATGGTAGGACACTCCCCCGTGGGATGTTTTGACAAAGCACAAATTCCACACAATTGGTCAGAAGGAGACAAAACAAATACTTCATTGACCTTTTTCTTTTATCTCTAGAGCATCTAGCTTTCGAGGTAAAGTAGTCATTCTGGCCCTCAAGTCATCATCATCTTTCAACACATATTTCCCTACCTGGGATATGGATGGTCTGGTTTCAACAATGTTTGGTGAGGCCAAGTCCCATATTTGAGAACTCTAAAAAATTGTGTCAAAAAATTCGAATGCCTTATCGGGATTCTTTCCCATGAACTCTCCCTAGGCAATCATTTCTACAAACTGACGCAATGCAGAGGGAAGGGCATTACAAAAGAAACCAACTAGAGTCCAACTCTTAAATTCATGATGTGGGAAAGCTTAGAGAAAATCCTTAAATCTCTCCTAATGCTAATAAAAAGTTTCTCTCTCTTTCACAAAAAAATTCATGATTTGGCATCTCAATGTATTAGTTTGGTGTACATGAAACACCCTTAAAATTAGGGGTCTTTTGTCAACCCGTTGATCACCTTTCAACTCACAGAAGTAATCGTGTGTGTCGTGTAACCTGACACCACAAGTTGTGCTAAGGCTGTTGAGGCCTTATAAGGGTTGCTAAGGTGGTTACTAGTCCTAAAGGGGATTAATAATTGGTTGAGGTTTTTCCATGAAATGGCCTGTGTCACATCACAAGTTGTCTCTACCCATCATTCTTTAGAGTTTCCTAAGGATGGTTCTTGCATGAATTGGTATATGATTGATAATATTTGTTCGTATGGGTAGCATACATTATGATTTGTACCTAGAAGCCATCATGTTGTGTGTTCAACAGACCTCTTAAGTGTGATGAGCTACTGTGGGGTTGAGGTACGGATATGTGGATTTGATGACTATTGTGGAAACTATCCGCAGAGGTCATGATTACATTGTTTTGTGTGTTGATTTGAAAGATATAAGTTTTACGGTACATTATAACTTGCGTGTGTAAAGAGTTTTTACCCTATGTCGGTTAAAGGAAAATGGTATTTTACGTAAGTTGGAAAGATGGTGATTTTATGGCTCAAGTTACCTTGCCCTATGATACATTTCTTGTATTGTTTTATGCAAGTCTTATAAAATGCTTTATTTAGGTACATTAGTTTGATAAGAACCTATATGCTTTGTTGAGATTTTGTAATTAAATCCTTGAATGGGAAAAAGATTACTCTATTTGGTGGTGGTTATTCATTCACCTATATTTATTATTTTTCAGATATGGGCATGCGTGGGTAGACCACATAGTGGTAGTTTTGGGATAGGAGATAAATTTCTTGTAATATTGATGTACGTAGTTAGGATGTGAAAAAAAACAAATATTGTATTATATTTGTCTGTATGTGAGGCATATATGGGAGTTTGAGTGTCAGAGACCAATAGTCCAATAATCCAACAGACCTCTTAAAAATGGGATGAGGTGAGGTGAGATTGAGACAAAAGTATGTAAAATTTGATAGTTTTGAAAAAGAACCCGAAAGAGCCTAAGTTTATAAAATTGTGTTAAAAAAGTAATATGATGACATTATTGAATTTATTATCCAATTGTGTGTGTAAAGTATTCCCACCTTATGCTTTGCAAAAGTGGTTGGCTATGTGTTATGGTTTAGAAAATGTTAGTTTTTCTGGGTATTCTTTCGTATATGCATAGGTCTTTACTTATGACTATATTTTGTTTATAGAACATTTTTATGTATGATTTGTGACGCTCTTGTATTTAAAACCTTATATGTGCTTGAAAAAAATTTATTCTATTGAGCGTGTAGTTGCTCACCCTTGTCATTTAACATTTTTTAAGACAACCATACACCTTAAGGCATAAGTTGGTGGATTGCTTTGTGAGAGTTGTTGACTAGAAGAAAGTTCTTTTTGATAATTTTGGTTATGTATTTAGAGTGTGAAAGATAAATGTTATTTGAGTATGTATTATTGTATATCGGGTTTATATTGTGGTGATCATTGTGATATGTTTAATGGATGGATGCTGGGTTTGGGAAGACTTCGTCGGTTACTCATAGTTATTTGACTAGAATGTTTCCAAAGTTTGTGCTTTCCTTTTACGTCATGTCTAATATTTAAACAAAATTCTGCCAAATTTTTTGAGAAATAAGTTTTACTCAACTAAATGATCCTTTTTTATAGAAATTTATTGTAAATAGGCAAGAAATTGTGGATAAAGAGTATTTTCTTAATAAATCACTCATTTTATAAAATTCGGGACGTGATAGTGTCAGTGTGTGTGTGCATTTTGGTTATTAGAGAGTGTGTGTATGTATTTTTTGATGTATTTGTGTGTTTATGTATTTTGTTTGGTGTATTAATATGTGTGTATTATTTTTTTGATATATTTTTTTTTGTGTGTCGTTGTGTAGTAATAACTGTGTAAGTAATGTGTTAATGTTTTTTGGTGCACCGGATGTGCATGTTTGTTTGATGTAGTAGTATGTATATATTTTTGTGTACTAGTTATGTGTTTGTTTTGATTAAGTGTTTGGGTGTATTCGTGTATTTGTTTATGTGTGTTTGATGTATTAATATGTGTTTTTATTTTTTGTGTGCACATATTTTTTTTTAATGTGTGTATTTTTTGTATACTAGTATATGTGTATTATAGTATATTAGTATATGTATTTTGACATATTAATGTGTGTATCGGCATATGTTTGTATGTGCTTTTGTATATGAGCAATGTTATAAGGAATTTTTTTGGAGACCTTAATTAGCGACTAAATGATATGACTTCAATATAACCATTGGATTAGTTGTAAGTTCCAATATTGGATGAAACTTACAATCAATCTAATAGTTGTATATTATTATGTCCCTAAATAAAATCCTCAAATAAAGTCCAAATAATATTTTCCTTTGTTTACTATTGTGTACGTCTTTTCATGTGTGTATGTGTCTTTTTGTTTTGAAAGTACTTTCTGAAAAATGTTTATCAGACATTCTTATGCTTTTAAACAATTTTTTTTTTTTAAAACGTTACTAGACACAGACTCAACCTTTTACAGAACAAACTAAAAATTTTTGCATTTTACCAGGGACAAGCTGCCATTCAGCCTAAGAATTTTCATTTAGGGGAATTATGCAGTGTTGCCATTCCTTTGTGTTGGAATAACTAGTGACTAGCAGACTATTTCATTTTCTATAGAAATTCTATATACAACAGACCTGGAAGGGAATGCAAATGGAAACCAGGTTCTCCTTCCCAAATAATTGCTGGCCGTGGCCGTCCAAGCCATAGCAGCTTATTTGATGATGTTTACCCAGTCTTTCTCAAACGAAATGAATGATCAAAAGACGAAACAGAGTCAAACGCAATTAAAGCAACCTATGACGCATTATCTTGACCAATCTGACTTTGACTTGACAAAAAGAAACTATTGCACTCTTCAATCAATCGGGCTTCAACCAATGGTAAATACTCCTATGTGTTCCAGGTTTGAGTTCGAGAATAAGTCTCTCCAAAAATCAGATAAGATTGTTCTCACTTCCCTCTCTAAGACTACACTACTGGCAAGAACTAATAAGCTTGACACGGTTTTTCTCTCTCTACAAGGTTTTTTCTTTCTTTATGTTCGTAGGGAAGAGATAAAGTACTCATTCGGAATAAAAATCCCAATATGAAATCGACCAAAAAAAAGAAGAAATTCGAACACGTTATTTCCCCTGCAGCCTTGGCAAATAAAAAACTCGCACATACAAGATGACTAGGAAAGATTAAAAAAAGAGAAGAAAAAAAACACAGGCAATTAACAGAATGTGGAGCAGCATTAGTCAAATATTACAAGAGTATAAAGATAGAAATAGCCACATTTTTGCTTATTCATAGCAGAAAAAATTATGAATAAGGTGTGAGACCTAATCAGCCACATTAGACCTTCTATTGCCCCAAACTCAGGTAACCCCAGAATTACAAGTCCACAACGTTTTTCAAGTACCTTAACAATATAAGCATTATATCTTTCTGTAACAATGCTGGTGATTTATATTTTCCTATTCAAAAGGGACAACAACAAGGTTAGGCCATATGTCTACTGATATAGGAAATTTACTCGTCTAAAACAATGACCCCAGGGTCCACTTTCTCTGCGCTTTCATCTGTTGAAGCATTGACGGTTGGATCGGTATTATGTTGCTTTTCTTCCATTTCCACGTCTCCGGTTCCATTGGATAAACTTGTAGGTTCAGCATCCACCGAACACAAATCTGCAGCAGGAACATCACACTGAGAATTGTTTTTTTTCATCTCTAGGTCAGGTTCTGCTACATTAATGTTCTGTGTCTGAGGTTCTGACTGCAACGTTGCAACTTTTGTCTCAGTTGCCATCTCAGCACCAGACTCTTGGTCATCTCCTTGAGGTGTAGCCAGAAAACTGGCTTTTGCAACTGGTGGTTGTTGATCTGCACCAAACATAGGCTGTTCTGAACCAGGAGAATTCAGCTGCACTGGAGAGAGAATTCGGTTTATGTCTTGATAGATTGCCTCGAGTGGGACAAGGTTTTTTCTCAACTGGTGACCTGCCGGCTTGTTTCCCAAGTGCGCCTCCACTGAATCATGAGCGTTCTCTGAAAGTACCTTGCACATCTGAAAATAAATGGGAAGCAAACAACAATAATTAACCAATTTACAGTTCCCTTTTTTCAAATGCAAATTGTCTCCCTTGGATTAGCTTGCAAGGTAAAAAACTGCAATCCAATGGTGTAATATGTCCAACACTCGATTCACTTTTTTCTCTCCCTTAAAGCCAACCTATAGTATGATTTGACAGGGTGAAACATATGGAGTTACCGCGTTATAAAGCCAAGCCATATCCAAACGATCTGGCTTGTCATCACAAGCGGCTGCCGAGATTTCTTCAGGAGCTGCACCAAAAGAACCTAAGTTACACTCTTGAGTAGATTTCAATAAAATTAGCAATATAAATAAGCCCAAGTGGTATCTGGCTTAAAGAAAAAGTTCAGGCACCCCAAATCCTATGCAATAATTCATTGAGCCCTCAAGAAATCCTGAAGTATAAGCAATCAGTTCATAAATGGTACATGATCTTCATCTATTAGGTGTGATCAATAATAGGTGTGATTAATAATTCATGTGAATCATCTACTCTTATCAATGACCCAATAATATCACCAAACCTTCAAATTTTCTAACCAACAGATTCCTCGGTGGCTTTTCTTTGCCTAGAATTTAGGCAGGTGACAATCAATGAAAATCAAGGAGCAATCTTATGGAAGGACCAAAGGGATTGTCAAGGAGTACAAATTTATTTGATATGCAGAGGACAGGTGTGCGCATGTACATTCTGAAAACATATAAAACATTGTCCCACCTTGAGTGGGGAAACCAAGTGAAATGAGCTTATAAGACTCCTCCATCCATCTGAAAGTTGGGCACATTTGATGTTGTGGTGGGTGTTCTTTCAGGGTGCCTTCTCCACTAGGTATGTGTATATGTATTTGTGAAAAAAATCCAAGAAAAACAAGAAGGATAAGAGGCAATGTATAGAAGCGCAGGGCTGGGATCTTCTAAAACTGGCCAAGCACCTGAAGAAATCCCAATAACTGAAGTGAACTTGCTTTTTATTACTTTCGAGATTTAGGGTTCACCATCCAGCAAATTCTGCAGAACAGAACTTCAGACTGAGAAGGTAAAAGCAAGCTGGAAGTAAGGAAGGAATACCAAGAAGTTGTTCTTTAACTCCAAAACTGACACTTCCACAACCAAAAACTACTTCTAATTCTGCTCTAACCAAATGTCCACCAAAGACAATAAATGGTACCCCCTGCACCTCCAATCAGCCCACAAAAAAAGGACCACACCTCCAATCCTCTGCTTGAACAGCAACCTATTTCCCAACAATCCAAAAAATTAGCCACCAATAAAGGCATCACCCATCAGACACTAGTGGAAAACCATCACCCAAATCTTCCCATCAACTGGACAATACAAAAGCAAATAATCCACGGCTTGCTCTGCTACTTTGAACATTGAGCACCGGTCGACCATTATGATCTTAGGCCTGTGTGTTATATTATTAAATTAGGGGGCATTTTGTTCTTCCATATGGCCTTGTACGAAAAAATTGTAGCCGCCTTCCAACAGGAAGGATATGATTTAACAGAGATCAATATGATATCATTCAGGAGACAGAAGCTAAAACCCAGAAGTAAAAAGATATCTCAGCAGGGGGCTACAACATCCTTTAGAGAAAGTCATTAACATGTCCCACAGTCAAATCAAAAGAAACGTCTCACAATAAATTGGCAACAAAAATGTCTACCACAGTCCTACGTCTTGGATCCCTAAATATGTACCCCAGAAGACCTAAAGATAAAATGCTAGAAACCTCAACAGATCTTTGCATGTATTCTGATGGAACAGTGCTGTTAACAACTGTAAACTCCATCACCTTCTCATTGCTCCAGCATCACAAGCCCACGTGCAAGCCATAACTTTAAACCCCAGTGCCAATGACAGGGTCCAATATCCGGGCATTTCTGAATTTATATTACCATTTCTTGTTTAAATGGAAGGATAGAGCATGGCGAACAAACACTTATTGGGTGATTGGATTGCGGGTTAAAGGGGTTAGCACATGTAGGATTGGATAAAAAATTGGTGGTACTCATTTATAACATGTTTGGAAAGCAAATTTGATATTGGATAACCTGTTTGGATTACAAACTGAGCTGAAGTGCAGTGTCAATAAACCTACATACATGGTTTCTCTGTAACCCATGGGGGGAGTGGGTTAAAAAGGCAGCCGACTGGATATTTTGATCCAATTACCGTTTTGCCCCTTTAACTCTAGCCAGACATAAAACCCCTCTCATCTCCCCCCATTTTCCTTGTTCAGCGGTGACATTGATCCTCCGCAGCGAAATGTGTAGATGCCGATCCAGAGCTTNTCACCCAAATCTTCCCATCAACTGGACAATACAAAAGCAAATAATCCACGGCTTGCTCTGCTACTTTGAACATTGAGCACCGGTCGACCATTATGATCTTAGGCCTGTGTGTTATATTATTAAATTAGGGGGCATTTTGTTCTTCCATATGGCCTTGTACGAAAAAATTGTAGCCGCCTTCCAACAGGAAGGATATGATTTAACAGAGATCAATATGATATCATTCAGGAGACAGAAGCTAAAACCCAGAAGTAAAAAGATATCTCAGCAGGGGGCTACAACATCCTTTAGAGAAAGTCATTAACATGTCCCACAGTCAAATCAAAAGAAACGTCTCACAATAAATTGGCAACAAAAATGTCTACCACAGTCCTACGTCTTGGATCCCTAAATATGTACCCCAGAAGACCTAAAGATAAAATGCTAGAAACCTCAACAGATCTTTGCATGTATTCTGATGGAACAGTGCTGTTAACAACTGTAAACTCCATCACCTTCTCATTGCTCCAGCATCACAAGCCCACGTGCAAGCCATAACTTTAAACCCCAGTGCCAATGACAGGGTCCAATATCCGGGCATTTCTGAATTTATATTACCATTTCTTGTTTAAATGGAAGGATAGAGCATGGCGAACAAACACTTATTGGGTGATTGGATTGCGGGTTAAAGGGGTTAGCACATGTAGGATTGGATAAAAAATTGGTGGTACTCATTTATAACATGTTTGGAAAGCAAATTTGATATTGGATAACCTGTTTGGATTACAAACTGAGCTGAAGTGCAGTGTCAATAAACCTACATACATGGTTTCTCTGTAACCCATGGGGGGAGTGGGTTAAAAAGGCAGCCGACTGGATATTTTGATCCAATTACCGTTTTGCCCCTTTAACTCTAGCCAGACATAAAACCCCTCTCATCTCCCCCCATTTTCCTTGTTCAGCGGTGACATTGATCCTCCGCAGCGAAATGTGTAGATGCCGATCCAGAGCTTCAACAGCAGTGCAGATCAGACATATATGTTCAATCTTTCAGTTTTTTTTTTTTTTACCTGTTACTTAGATCCCTTCTCTTTGCAACCCAAGTTCATCCCCTCAACATCTTGAAGTTCAATGGGGTGGTGGCATAGAGCAAGGTGCTAGGATGCATATGCCACCCATCAAACACTCTCAGAAGAAGAACTAAGTTGTTCGAGACTTAGTGCGGTACTTGCACTCATTAATTGAACATATGTAATGGGATTCTTTTGGAATCCAGCATCATCTATTTTCTCTTCTTTATTTTTCATTCTTTATTATTACTATTTTCCTGTTGAGTTCCCAATTATATTAGATGTATAGTCGTAGGACACAGGAGTGAGATTACTGGTGATTCTATGGAAGGCTTATTTGTGTAGGCCAAGGTCTATTCTGTGTAGGTCTTCTCTACATATATGATCAGTTCAAGCAATATTACAACAATTTTGTGAAATAAGTTGGATTCTTTGATATAAATTGCCTGATGCAAACATAAGTGTGGGATGTTTAATTTTTGTGAAAAGTTGTATTTTGTGATGTAAACGTTGTTGAGATATAAAATTGTCTCTTTTTTTTAACGAAAGAAATAGTTATTTCTATTCCAACTTAGCCATCCGAACATAAGACTGGATTGGAGTGCTCAATTGGTATGATGTTAAAATTTCATTGAAGTTTTTTTATATCATCCAGTTATTACATGGGATCCAAGAAAAATTTCATATATGCTTGCCAAACATGAGATTGGTTAGGAATTGAGACTTTTCCAAGCCAATCCAATTGAATGATTTGGCCTGGGTGGATGGGGAAGGGCAAAAAATTCCAAACCTGTCCTGTCATCCAAACACTCCCTTATTGTGACATAAATGAATTCACCCCACCTTGAACTTCAACAATAATAACATGCGGAACATTCACCTTCATCATTCTAATCCTACTATTGCCAACATGAGACTCACCTCAATCCATCAGAAACTTCATCGAATTCCTTCCATTGCAGCTTACTGCCCCTAAATTCTTCTTCCATACTTTTGTTGGTTAGAAACAATCTTGCAAGGGAAACAAAGGGCTTTGCCCCAGCTTTTAGCTAGAGTGGTATCAGATTTGGCCACCCCAAAGAATAGCTACAAGAATCAAGTCTTGGTTGGGACGTGGGTTATTACTCAGCCATTGTGTGTGCACGAGGCTACAAGAGAGAAGAGAGAGAGAGAGAGGCCAAGTAATAAGACGGGCAAATAATACCAGTCGTTAAATATCAACAGTATTATGGCTCAAAGTTGTGGACTGTGAAAAATAGATCAAGCTATAGAAGAGAAAAGGAGAAAAGAAATCCATATGCAACTCTCTAAAATATTCCAGTAATTATAAAAACTAGGAACAAGAGACTATATATAAAACTCTACTACAAGAAAAATACTAGAATGCCCCTAATGATAATTAAATATATATACTATCTTCACAGGTTACATAACTAGATATTTATAATTGCAGATAATCAACAAGGAAACTACAATCGTAATTAAATTGGATAACCAGATAAAATAAAATCCTAATTACTATAAAAAAAAAATCAAAATCTCCTGAAAATCCTTTACTTTGACTTAATTAGATAATAAATGGTCCCATTCGAATTTCATTGACCAAGTCCAAATTAAATATCAAAAATCTCGTCGCATATACCGTCATTCTCTCTAGGTTGGAAATAATTTGCCTTCCAATTCACCTCAATATTTGAGTCTTCGCTAAAATTTGGGCCACCAAATCTAGGTTGGATACTTTGATCTTTGTTTGAATTTAGGCTTCCAACCAATCCAAAATTCGTCCGTAGGAGTCTTGACGGTCATAACTATCTTGCTCATCTTTATCCGATTGAACCATAGTTATCAAAATCGTACGATTCAATTCGTACAATTCGGTTCGATACAGGTACAAAACGATTCGTATCTTAAATGAGAATCGTTTTAGATTTGAATCGCACTTAAATCGTACGATTCATAAGATTCGATTCGTATCACGAAGAATCGCGCAATTCAATCACTTTTTTTTAAAACTCAAATTTTTTGCAAAACGACGTCGTTTTGTCTGCTAAATAGTAAAACAACGTCGTTTTGTTTGCAGAGGAACTCATGCCGTAATAAAAAACTTTAACATTTTTGCTCGTTCTCTCTCTGACGTCGTCTAAAACTTGCCTTGCATTGTCTAAAGCTAAAGGTCACGGCTAATGCTCTCGCATCATCGATTGATTTTTGCTCTCAATTCTTTCATTGATAGTTTATTAGGTTCTAATTTTTTATTTCAAAATGTTGGTCAGTATATTTTCTCCCAATCAATTTTCTTATTTGTTCTTTTTTCATTCATGTTTGTAACTTAATCTATATTGGATGTCACTATTTTGATTCTTGAATAGTCATGGTTTTTTAATGAATTTTTTTTTCAAGTAGTTGAATTTGAAAATAGTTGAGCAAAAGATGAAAATGAAACAAAAAACTAGCGTCTTTCCATGTAGATGACGTGATTATGACAATTGATTATTTTTAGAATACAATAATGTTCAATATTCAATATTTTGTATATTTTAAATATGTAGTATTATTTTTATATTTGTTCAACTTTTGTGTCAAATCTTACGATTCACGATTTAATACGATTCACGATTCTAAAATTTAAGATTTTAATTCACGATACGAATCGCGATTTGATAACTATAGAATGAACCACAATGGATTGCTACCTTTCTTCTCATCAAAACCTTTAATGCCAAAAAATGCAAGGAACTGTTTGTTTGGAAAGGTTTCCAACATAATCCTAGATGACCATGTATCATTATCTTTATATGAAATCACATCCCCTCAATAAAACATCAGTAAATGAAGGCATAAAACCGAAGTAAAGCGAACAGTTAAAAAAAAAAAAAGTAGAATCAGGAAAAAAAACAGAAGCAGAAAAAAAAAAGAATCAAAAGAGAGAAGAAGAACCAGAACTAGAACCAGGAGGGAGAAGAAAAAAAGAAAAATAGAAGAGAGACGAAAAAGATGAGACTAACCTGTGCAGCGAGGAAGGAGCAACGATCATCTCTGTCTAGCCTCCAACGATTGTCTCTGTCTAGCCTCCAACGATCGTCTCTGTCCAGTCCAGCGTGTCTGTCGACTTTGTTGATCGTGTAGGAGCAACAACTCTGTCGATCGTGTAGGAGTAGCGATCGAGTCTGTTCTGTGTCCCGCGATCATGTAAGAGTAGGAGCAGCGAAGTAATCTGAGCAAAATTAGGGTTTAGGGTTGTATTAATGGGATAATGGGATAATTCGGTGTATCAACATCTTATAATTTTTTTTTCCAATTGTCCAATCCAACGGTCCATAATAAAAATAAAACAACTTCGCCTCTAATGACTAAGGCGTTCGCTTTTTCGCCTTTCGCTTAAATGCAAGGCGCTCGCCTCAGTCACATTCACTTCGCTTGGGGTGCTCTAGGCAAGATATCTTCGCTTTGCCTCGCTTCTCGCCTTTGTGAGCGCCTTTTCAAAACACTGGATCCCATGAGCAGGAACTTCACAGTTGTTGTGATCTTTCCCTCGTCTTCCATCCATGTGTATTATTGACTTCCAATACACTATACAAAACTCAGCAAAATCGATTTTGTCTAGAAGTCTAGAAGTGATTGAGACAACCCAATTAACGTCAGACATCTTTGCATTCACAAAATGGGGGCAATATTCGGTTTGAACATTGATAGAGTCGTCTTTAACCAAGAATCAAAATATCGTTTTGGAGTACTGTTTCGGTCAGCTCAAAAACGGAAAAGTTTCAGAAACGTAGAAAAAATATGAAAACAAATGGAAACACAATCCATTTATTTATAAAGATAAACTTAATAATTGATTAATTGAGCATATTTATGAAGTTAGCATCCATTTATACAACATAATATCAAGTTGGAGGAAAAAAAAAAAGCTTAACACGAGGCAAAAATCACTTAAATTAATTTCAAGCACTTAATGTCATATTTACAATAAATACCATTATATTATCAAACACATTATATTCATGCAGTATTCATTTTACAAATTAAATATGACACGTATAACACTTTTACATTAAAATGCTATCAAATTAATAATACTAATTTATTATAATACTAATTTACTAATTTATAATACTAACACTTTCATTCTTTCAATATGTTATTATAATACTAATTTATTAATTTAAATTGTGTCACCAAATTAATGAGTAATATTATTTCAATTTAATATTAAAATCATTACATAAACAATTTTTACACACATAAATACTTAATTCTAAAGATGTAACAAATAAGGTATATTCCATAAAATAACTTGTAGCTATTTAATACACCAATTTAACAAATAATAATAACATACAAGAATAATTGCAAAAAGGAAAAAAATGTGGGGATTATAACAAGGGTCCATTGTTAAATTAGTTATACTTATAATGTGGGGTATTAAATTAAATTAGTTATACTTATCAGTTGAAAAAAAAAAGAGAAAAGAAAAAAAAAATATAAAAGGTGAGACTTGGGATGACAAACAAAGAGAGATAAGAGAGACAGAGAACACACGATACTTCAGTCGTCAACGATTGACTTCGCCGGAACGAGAGAGAGAAGATCTACTCACAGCGAAGTTAGCGATGAAGACCAAAGTCCCAACAAAGAAAAGCTTAAGCCCTAGACCTGCTACATAGCTCATGGGAATTGAACATACCTAGCTCGTGGGAGTGGAGAGAGGCCTAGATTTGGACTCGGGGAGGAAAGCCACCGAACACTTCTCCTTCAATTTCTTCTGGGTATGTTTTGTATGATTGTACCTGTTCCTTTCTCTCTCTCTCTCTTTGATTTCTTCTAGGTAAGCCATAAGATTGTGCATTTCCCTCCCTTTGTCTTTTCCTATTTTTTTTGGGGCTTGGAGGACCTGTGGCTGTGCCAGTGGACTTGTGATTTCTAAAAAATCTTAGTCTTCTCTCTATTTATTTCCTTTTTTTTTGGCTTGTGGGACCTATGGACATGTGAATTTGAGAAGAATCTTAGATTTTTATTAGGTTAAGCTTTGGCCTAGAGTGCAGTCGAATCAACCCAATGTTTCGGTCAAAATGGCACTGTTTCGACCGAAATGGTCCGAAACAGTGATGTTTCGCTTGAAACATTGAAATTTTGGTATTTCACCCTTGTTTCGTGTTGATGTGTTAAAAATTCGAAACATTTCGGACGTTTCGACATGAGATTTAGATCCTTGTCTTTAACCACTTGTGCTAATCGAGTTACATCACCATGTTCGGGCACATTGTCAAGACACATGTTCTGACCACTAAGACTTCTCTCGAGTAAAATGGTGTAGGAAATACTGCTAGCTCTGATACCAACTAATGCAGTTAATGCGATGGAATGAAACCAGAATAACACAAAAACCTTAGACCGGTTGATTATATTTGATAATAGGGGTTAAAGTCCTTCAACAACTTTGTAAATTCTTACAAATTCCAAAGTAATTGGGAAAGAGAAAAATATTCTCTAATATTAGTTTAAATCATCAAAATCTTCTTCAGTAGGTTACATAAATGGATATTTATAACAATAGAACCCTCTAATCAAACTAGGAAACTATAATCCAAATTAAATTTGAAAACTAAATAAAATAAAATTCATATTACTAAACCAGAAAATAAATCAAAATCTCCTAAAAATCATCTACATGACTTAATTACAAAATACTCAGTCCTGTTTGAACTTTATTGGCCACGTTCAAACCAAATATCAAATCAGAGTAGTAAACATGAGCAAAAACTAGAGTTTTGAGCTTGAATATACTCTAAATTGCTTATTCAAACCTTAACAATAGACTCGAGAGAAAACGGAAAACAAAACTCATCAAAACAATGCCCTTTCAAGAACCAACATTAATCTTTGGCAATGTCTTAGATAATACCCAAAAATATGCCAAAGCATGCTCAACCACTAGTGAAATGTCTTATCAACATCATCAATTAGCCAAGACCAGAAGGGATTGACAGTCACCAAGGTCTGGTATATCTCCAATCTCAAATTCATCAATACATAGGCAACATGTATAGACATGGTCTGCACCTAAAGCTGACATGTTACCAGGGAATAAAAAGTTTTCTCCATCTCATTACGAACACATGATGTTTGGTTACATTGTCCCTGTGTTTCAGTTTTTTAATCATCTTTGCAACACAAGTTGGATCATAAGTTTACTTCTGCAATTAAACATTTAGATATCATCAATATGCTCTCTGCTTGGTCTCTTCTTATTTTTTATTTGTGTGTGTATGTGTTGTTTTTTTTTTTTTTTTTTTTTGGGGGGGGGGGGGGTGGGGGGAGGGAAGAGTAAATCAAAAGCAATGACTGGTCAAATCCAACAAATTAAGTTACATAAAACCAATGATAAAAATCTCATTTTGGTGCATAGTTTCTGTTAACTCGAAAATAAAACATTTCCAAAAATGTATATGAAACACAGGAAAAATTTAGAACTTTGATTCTAAAACAATGGAAGAAACATTCCAAAATATTAGAATTTCGATTTTTAAGCATTGATATTGATTGTTGATCCTTACTTAAATCTTATATCTATGGTTTACAATCTGCTAGGTGAAATTAAAAGAAATTCGTAGAATACTCACAGATTACTTCTATTTGAGGCAAATGATTAGTCATCTGATTATCAAATTCCATGAAGCTGCGGCTTGGTACATCTGTCACCTTGGATTCAGTCTCCATCTCATCATGAGGAGTCTCATGGGATTTTTCATCCCCCTGTAACATCAAATAGCAAAAAGAAACTATGTCATAATGAAGAGGCAGCTAATTGTTTGAACATATGCAAACAGAATGAAATCCATATGATGTATCTTTTCAGGGAACTTTTCCGCATTGAATCAAATTCCATTCTTTATAATGATCATAAGCCAAGTCTTCAAATGGTTAAGGACAAAAAACTAATGAGCCTGCCGAAGTTATTGATTTATGGATGTAAAATAAATGATAGATCTTAGGGCGCTGCTCGATAAAGCCTAGAACCAGGTTTACCTGATTTAGCAGGGTCTATTCAGAGGGAGCTTTAGTTTGGCATTGGAAAAGCACGGAAGTGGTTTTTCCCCTGCCAAATAATGGCTCAAAATAGGATCTCAAGTGAAATGAAAAAACTGGTTATTCATGGGTCTGTTTATCTCCCAAAATTGAGGTAATATTCCCTCATAATCTGCCCAGAGCCTAGCTGCCCTTCCCGTAACTACCGAAAGTACCTGTCTAGTGAATGTAAAAGAAGGAATTCTCTGATCTACCTACCTCACTCGGCCAGCAACAGAAGGAATTCTCTTTGATAAACCGCTTGACTAAACGAAGAAAACATAAGTGCGCTAACACGCACCCTATCTAAGTCAACCTTTCGAGAGCCCCTTTACTTTACTAGTAAGGGTGCTTGGTTTACCGATGTCCACTAAAACCTACGGGCGGGTCCTCCACAACAGCGGCAGTGGTGAACATTGCTACTAAAGAAGGGAGATGGGAGCCTCTACCGCGGTCAGGTTCCATCGCGACTCTGATTTTTGATATGTCCGTTCTGAGAATGTAAAATTCTCTTTCCGGTACAAGAATTCTTGGATGATTGTGCAAATGAAACAAAGAGGAAATCTGCAGATGGACTGCTTCTAAATTGAATTTTATTCAGGCTCTCCACCCCGTGCACATCTCCCCTGCTATGCCTCATAAATGGGGATGTACAATTTTTCTGGTTTTTGATTTTGGAATTGTGTCAAGATGAGACCCTCTAGGAAGTGTTTTACATGTTGTGAACCAAAAATGGATTAATTTAAATTGTTTTTATAAATTTTTATCTAGTGTCCGCCTGAACAAAATGAATGTGTGGAAAGATTTAAGTAAATTTTTTTCTTTCTCTCAATCACTCTCAGGGCTACAAAACCAATGATTTTCTTCAAAATTTCCAGTTATTTCTCCAATTATTCTTGAGTTTTTTTGTAAGTTGATTGTAAACGATAATTTGTTCTTCAACTAGGTGTATCACCACCATTCCTTGATAATTTTGGGTATGGCACAATTTATTGGGAAAATTAATTGCCCATCTTGAATTTGTTCTTCAACTTACAGTATCCTAGTTTGTTCCTTAATCGCAATCAATATTGTGAAACCACTTCTAACCTCAGGCCAATTCAGGTTTACATTTCAATTGACATAACTAGTCCAGGTTGGGTCGTACTAAATTAGATTGAACAGAACTTAAGTTCACCAACCCTAGGACACAGAATATTTCAGATCTTTTTGTAGAATTGCAAACCAGACTTGAATTAAATAATAAACAGCTCAAGACAATAACAGAAATTCTTGAAAAAATTCCTTTTTAACAGGCTGCGCTATGTTGAATTTGTAGCTAACAAGATGAGAGGTAAAAAGATTAAAACAGTATTTACATATTTCTGGTCAAAGAATTTCATGAAACAGGCATACTCTATTATGAGCAATACAAGTGAAATCTTGCATTGACTATGCTTTTTCAATTTATGCAAATGTATTCCACAAATTAATACCTAGAATCTACAAGCCAGGAGGTCTTTCGAGAATAATTCCAACCACAGTATGATACTACCAAAGGACAACAAAGAAATTGGCAATTACTTGAGGCGAAATATAATCAAGCCACAATGGAGTCTTTTGGTGTCAAATGACGTTGGATAAACTTGCAAATTAAAATCCTGATTGAGCTATCACTAGCATCTAAAGATCTTATCCCTTTGTAACGGGATATCATTTTTAAGTGGAGATGTCAAAACCAATTGGCACAGACCAGAGAGGTCCCTCAAGTAGTAAAGTGTATAAACAACCTTGGGTGGGGTCCTAAGTGGGACACATCCTCTTTTTACACAGTCCCTCGTGTGGGATCCAAACTCCCACGTGGGCCTAACAAACAAACAAACAAACATTAATGCATACTGGAAAATTTAAATGGATAAGAGATTTGGTGCACTAAAGTCTGACCATTCAAGGTCCAATTCAAAACCAATTGACACATAGTAGAAAGGTCCCTCAATCTCAAGTATATAAACTAATCTTGGGTGGTCTTAATCAGTCGATGTGGGATACATGCTCTTGTCACAACATCTACCTAGGAAGTAAAAGGTTTGTGGATTCTAAATGCGATGTCATGAAGACTACTTAAATCACTTTTTCGGATTCAAACAAAGAGAATGAGATTACTATCATTGGTCTAGAGGCTGTGTTTTAAAACTTAGTCCGGCCCAACGGGTTGACCCGATAACTCAGTAAACTGGATCCTAAACCGAATAAGTTTATATTATCATTTGAGCACAATAACTGCCCAAGACCCATTGCACCGGTCGATTTTTTATCTAACCGTTCAATTCGACTGGCTTTTGATAGGGCAGGTCAATTAAAATGCTATATAAATTAGGTTTTTGAGTATTTTTGCCCCAATCGTTTTGTTTTGCTCCATTTGCACCTCTACCTCTCTCGAGTCCTCGACAACTCTCAAGCAGCCTCACTCAGTCACTCATCTCTCTCTCTCTCTCTTTCTTTGATCGAGCGAAATATGAAGGCTAAGGTTCAAAGTATCTGCCATACCCATACAAGTTGGCCAAGCCGAGTCGTATCCGACTTGGCACCTTTTAAATCAATACATTACACATAAACACAGAGTCTAGCAAGACTAGTCTGAATAATTTCTGCGTTATCGTCACCAAACCGACCAAAACAATTTCGCCAACACCACGATATGACCTAAATCTGTCGTTATGTTTAACTTTTTTAAGGTCATTCTGATACCACGCCGCGACGTATGCATGTCAGTGCCCTCTGAGTCGACAACCGATATCGCGACCTTGAACCATAGCAAAGGTAGGAGTGAAGATTCTCCACCACCATCATCAGTTTTTCATCGATGATTTTGCTAAACTCACTCAAGCTTTGCAACTTTCCTTCATTTAGTAGGTACATCTCTCTCTCTCTCTCCCCTTGATATTTTAGTTGATATTATACTAGATGCCCTCTCAATCTATAGTATATTTTGGCCTATTTCAACGTTGATGACATTATCAATTTCAAATTTTGCAATTAAGAGCAGTTATTATGTGAGTAGATTAGGCAAACAAATTTCTTTTGCTTATGATTGTGGGTTTGCTTTCAACCACCTAAATTGAAAACTGAACCACAAATTGTAAAAACAAAGATCAATTGGTCTAATTGGAATGTGTCAATGAAACAGGGGAGTGAGTATTTGGTGTATCGTTAATCCATTTGATGAGTTTTGGGGTTTTCTGTCATCTAATATACATTAAACATGTTCATTATCATATATTTAGCATATTTATTATCATTATTTTTTTTATTTTTTATTTAAACCGGTCCAACTAGTAACTCATTATCAGATCAGAAGGTGTCAAGTTGATCGGTCATATCGGCATTGGCTCGATATGATCGATGCTTTGAACCATGCTCATCATAATATTCTTAGTGACATGAGCAAATTGAAGCTTAGCCAAATCTCAACATGTGACGTAACAAATCCAAAGTAAAGAACTCACAAAGAATTCTTTCTGGTATTCTGCATTGAGTGCTTTCTCCAAAAGAAGCACCCTTTTCTTGATAAACTCAACCTGTCTTCTCTGCATCTCCCTAAAATGGTACAATGTAGAAGGATCTTGGTATAACTGTGCTCGGTTTGCAGAATCAGTAGTTCCCTGTGCAACATCTGCTCCTAAATCATTCCCTTCACCTGTCACTTTGGACTGATTTCCAGGTACTTCCGCACTAACTACATTTTCACTCTCTTGTGCTTGAGAACTACCTGAAGCAGTAACTTGTGCTTGAGGACCTCCAGGAGCTGGAACTTGTGCTTGAGAAGCTCCTGGGACAGGAAGATTGACAAAAGGCAGATTCAGCTCTTGACAAATGATCTCCAAGACCCTCAAGTCCTTGTCATCAACAATTGCTTGCCATCTTCCATATCCATGCCTTCATATTTAAGCAAATAAAAAAAATTAAAACAACTTCAATAAAATCCACAAAATCATAGCTTGATTATCCGATCTTATATTCTGCTTGATATAAGCTGTCAACAAATAGTAAGTAAACATGGCCGATCTTAAATCAATTCCCACACATTCCGGATTTTCACACGTAAGATTAAATTTTTAAAGCAATATGACAAGAATATGTGCAAATTAGGCAAAAAAAGTGATTAAATCCTGTCCTTAGAATAGAGGAGTGGCAAAGCATTTTTTTCGACAAGTGGTGCAACACAACATAGCCATACACCATAGCTATAATATTTTCCATTTTATTCTAGTTATGATTGGATGGTTTCGTCTTCCTGGGATAGTTGGAATTATGCACCAAGGCAAGCCCGGGATTTCTCTTCATAAAATATAGAACGAATATCTCGGAAAATTGAGGCTGTACCAAAACAATGTTGGATGCAAAGACATGTAGTCTTACTTGAAGAGTTGAAATTGTCCACAATGAGGCAAGTTCAGAATTTTGTCAATGCAGCATTTTAATCTTTCTTCAGAAAACATAAGACGGACATTTAGGGATAATAGAGAGCTGTACCGAAAAAAATGGTTGAACACAAAGACGTCTATACATCCTTATATACAGTATTGTCTACATCAGTAAAATTTCTGACGTAGATGATAATAGATTCCAAAATTGATTTGAGTTCTCCAGGCTTGAGACAATTCTATGACCAGTCTACTGTCAATAGTGAAATGCATATAGATTTACAAAAAAAAAAAACCTAAGGGCAAATCCATTGTAGAATGGTGGATAAGTGTTAGTAATGCATCCAAGGGGAGGGGAGAGGTCAATGTGTAATTCTTATTGCTGCCAAAAAAGACAAATGAAGAAGAAAGAAAAAGCAATTAATTTTCAGACTGGTGGTAACAAAATTAGTACTCAAGCAATAGAGACCTAGACTAGGACATTTATCAATATGTACAGTTCAAGTATGGGCAGCATAAGAATGTCACATCACCTTCAATGGCTTTGTTATGTACGTATTGCATTTAAATGGCAATGATGTTTTACATCATACTGCCACGACATATATCTGAAACATTATTCAAGAAAACAAAGCTATGGTAAAACAACAACCATTACTCCACCTATAGGAGCTCACAAAACAAAGTTTTAATGGAGTACTTTGATGCTTCTCTCTTATCCTAATCATCCTTTTTGTTGGACACCTGATTTGTCACTTCAATTTTTTTGATAAAACTTAAAAAAAAGAAATGGAAAAAAGAAAAAGAACATACTTCAATACTGCACGCAATAGTGACAAATCATGCTCCTCCTTCCAGAATCTTCCGCCTTTCAGTCCAGGGAAACGATATAGAATATCATCTGCAAAAAGAGGAGCACCTGACTTTTCTGACAAAGCCTTCACCTGTCATACCACAAAATAGTTTTTAGAGAACTAAACAAAATTAACATGAGAAATATCCACAGCTAAGTTAAGGTCTAAGGACCAAATTCTACATTCTCCACTGTCTCGCAAGGTGGTGTGGGAAAATACAGTCTGCCTGGCAAGCAAAAAAATGGGTTTCCACGTGAATTAATGACCAGAAATACTTGAGCCCCAAAGAAAAAGAAATCAATTCCACACAATCACAACGTCCCAAATATGAAAAGTTTCCTTGCTAGATTAAGCCCATGGGAAGAACAAGAAGCACATAATCGATGAGTGAAGTATAGTTAGGTAACTGTATAGATTCATGGGTCAATTTTGACTATATCTCTGTGCTACTTTGAATAATGAGGAACAATATAAGAACAGCCTCTTCAGACATGCTAAAATGACTATTGAAGACTGTTAATTGCCCCAATATTCATGTCCCGTGAAGTGTTTGAGATCTTTTTGTCTGAGGTGTTCATGACAATCCTAAAAGTCGACCATGTTATGATCAAACTGATTAGGGGATGGGACAATCTTTAATGCATGTCAATATGTCCAATCACCATAGAAGCCTATTTAAGCAATTCAGTATTACTGCCTCAAGGTTCCAGAGGTTGGTGACTGACCTCTTTCCAAACCATCATATCAAACATTGAATTCTGTAATTACTCTCACAATAATGTTAATCCAACCGCATATTATTGTACGCCAATAGAAGTGGACAAGTGTTAGCTCCTTCGCACGTTGGCATGGCTAAGGCATGCGGGTTCTCAGTTGTCGGCTGACAAGGGATGCATGTGCTGACTGTGGGCGATTCTGAGCAGTTGGTGGCCAAGTCATGCACTGGTTTCGAAGGCAACAACTACTCTAGCATACAAGGCATTTCTGATTGGTTCAGCAGATTAATGGTTTGATGGAAATCCACCCAAGACCCTTGAAGGCAAACCTATATTGGTGTTAGCATGTCCTAGTAGTTGAGGATGTCAACTGCATTGGCTGATTTGGTCAAAGCTAGTTGGTGTCTGGCAGCATTGCCTAGGCAGTTGGGTTGTAACTGCCATTGTAGGGTTAAATACAAATGCTAGGGATTGAGGACGTTTTGTAAAGGCCCTTAGCTGAACTCTTTGTACTTGCTGAGAAGTAAAGGTTGGAACATTGTCTTGTAACTTGTGTGCCTATTTTATGTTTGATTGCTTGTCCCCATGAGGCTCTTGAGACTTGAGTGCATTTGTTTGATCCTAAGTGTGGGATCTTAGTGCCATCATAAGGTAAAAATCGTGTGTAATTTGACCTCTGTCACAAACCAAGTTTGATAAATCACAAAAAAGAATGAAAAAAATTTCAACATAAAATCACCAAAAATAGTCTAACATTCAAAACAATGAGTGGACCACACAAGCTACTAGAACAACAAAGAAAAAAATGCATTGCAACTACAAAGTTCTTTAGAAACCACATAAGAATTGGATATTGTTGACTAATAACTAAAAGTTTAGATCAAATATACATAGACAAGAGATATATGTGAGTGAAAGGGATTCTCAAACCAAGAGTAGAGCCCCCTATATATATAGTCAAATAATAATACAAAGTGACCTAAACATACTTGTGGTCTAGGAAAAAATATAAAGTTATAGTAAGAGTAAAAAGGGAAAAGAAACCTTAATAAACTAGATTATACTCCAACATTCTCCCTCAAGCTAGACGCAAAAATATCAACTAAGTCAAACTTGACAACGGAGTCCCAGAGAATGGATAGAGTGACAGGTTTGGTGAAAACATCCGCAACCTTATCATTGGTCCCCACAAACAATAGAGTGACAATACCACATCGAACCTTTTCCAGAAGAAAGTGAACATTGATCTCTAAATGCTTCGTCCTCTCGTGTAATATAGAGTCAGAAGCGAGCTGAATAGCAGATCAATTATCATAATATAATGTAGATGAAGAAGTCACTGGAAATTCCAACTCGCCAAGAATCAATCGTAGCCAAATAATCTCATATGTGCCAAGTGCCAGTACCCGATATTCTGCCTTTGCTAACGAATAAGAGAAAACTGTCTGTTTTTTGCTCTTCCAAGAGATAAGTCCCTCAAAAAGCACAGAAGCCCGTAGTAGATCGACCATCATGTACTCCGTCATAATCTAAATCTGAATAACAAGTTAAAGAACCAGTCTGAGATCCTGATGCATAGAACAACCCAAGTCTAGTACAAGACTTAAGGTACCGAAGAATATGATAAGATAAGGCTGACATGACCTGTGCATGAACTGACTAACTCGGCTGACAGTGAATCAGATGTCTGGCCTAGTGTTGGTTAGGTAGATAAGTCTACCTACCAACCTCTGATAGACAGTCGGATCTCTCAACTCCTCACCTTCAGCAGTAAGCTTCAAGTTTGGAATCATGGGTGATGATGCCGGTTTGCACCCCAGTATCCCAGTGCCTGAGAGAAGATCCAGAACATACTTTCTCTAAGAAAGAATAATACCCCTGCTACTACGAACAACCTTAATCCCAAGAAAGTATCGCAGAAATCCAAGGTATTTCATATCGAAGGTCTTCCCAAAGTCTATCTTAACCTGCACAGTCCCAAAAACATCACCTCTAATAATAATAATATCATCAACATATACTAAAAAGATGATACACTGTCCAGAAATATTCCGTCGAATGAAGCTAGTATGATCGGAATGACATCTAGTGAACCCCAAACGTACGACTACATCACTAAAGCGAGAGAACCAAGCTCGTGGTGTCTGTTTTAGTCCATAAAGAGACATACACAGTCGACATACCTTTCCAGCATACTCCCCCCACCACGAAAGTCCGGTGGTGCGTCCATATAACTAATCTCGTCCAGATCACTGTAAAGAAACACATTCTTCACATCTAACTATTTGGGCTTTGGTTGGACTTGGCTTATTGGTTTATTGAGTTGAGTGATGGGCTGGTACCAAGGGGCAGTCGGTGACAGGGGTGAGCTAAGGTGGAGTGAGATGGGTAGGGTTTTTTTTTGGTCGGTGGGCAGCGGGTGGAAGCTAAGGTGACAAGGATGATGGTTTTTGGCAGTCGATGGACAGTTTGGGCCGGTCGCTGGAGTGGGTCTCTAGTTTTGCTGATGGGAGGCTGAATGCAGTCAGTGGGTTTTGTGGCTGAATGCAGTCCCTGGTTTGGGTTTGGGTCTGTTCGGTTGTTGTTTGAGTGGGGGTTGCTTGGTGTGGTTGTTGGGTTGACTGTGGTTGTTGAGTTGCTGTGGTTGCCGGGTGGAGTGAGATGCTTACTGGGAAGCTGTCGGTGCTACTGGGCAGTGTATGTTGGTGGCTGGTTACCGTTGTAATGTGGAGAAGGGGCAGCGGGTGGGTTGTTTGGTTACGACGATTGGTGGAGGCTAAGGCTAGGGCTAGGGCTAGGGCTAGGGCTAGGGTTAGTGGCTTTGATACCAACAAGAGATATATGTGAGTGAAAGGGATTCTCAAACTAAGAATAGAGCCCCCCATATATATAGTCAAATAATAATACAAAGTGACCTAAACATCCTTGTGGTCTAGGCAAAAATATAAAGTCATAGTAAGGATAAAAAAGGGAAAAGAAACCCCAATAAACTAGATTATACTCCAACGCATAGAAGAAGAGAAGGAAAAAAGAAATATTTTTCTCTAATATTCCATCATAATAAAAACTAGTACAAGAAACATTATATGTAAAACTCTATTACAAGAGAAAGACTAGAATACCCTTATTGGGAAGTAAAGATAAATATGAAGACAATTGTGACTAGAGTACCCTTATTGAGAACTAAAGATAAATATAAAGACAATAGTAATCACCCCCCTTCCCTCTTTCAAATTCAAAACATGACAGTAGGAAGTAACGAGACTTTGGCAAGAAGGAAACAAAAATGCAGTGTAGTATTAGACTTCGTGAAAAAGTTGGTCAATTGCATAGTATTAGAAAAAAAGGCAAGGAAATAGTCCCGAACTAAATATGGTGGCGCACAAAATGACAATCGATCTTGATATATTTGGTCCGCTTGTAGAAAACAAAATTGTGTGCAATATGAATTAAATTCTTACTGTCATAATACATATAAGTAGGAACAAAAAAAAGAAAAAACTAGATTAGCAAGTAACCATCTCAACCAAACTATCTTTGACGTAATAGTAACCATAGCATGATATTTAGCCTCAGCAGTGGAATAAGCGATAACAATTTTTTTTTCTCCTCCAAGAAACTAAGAATTGCCCAAAAAGCACAAAACCAATAGTCTATTTACGATCTAAGTCATCACCTGCCTGGTTAACATCGGAAAAGGCATGAAACTCCAAAGAAGAAGTTGAAGAGAATAACAAACTCTAATATAAGTGCAGCGAAAATAAAATACAGAGAACTGTGGTCAATGAACTATAGTAAGAGAAACAAACCGACTTAGATCATGAACAACCTAAAGAATATTAGGTCATGCAATAGGGAGATAGACCAAACTACCAAGAAGAACTCAATACAGAATAGGATCAACTAAAGGGACACCAACAATATAAGTGTAATGTGCATTGAGCTCAAGAGGAGTCTCAATAGTCTGAGAATCTATTAATCGAGCCATGTGAATAACATCAACTACATACTTTGATTGAGAAAGAAGTTGACCCTTAGGCAACAAAGCTACTTCAATGCTCAGAAAATAATGAAGGAACCCAAGATCCTTCATCTCAATGCTCTTGTAAATGAGTCTTCAATACAAAGATACCCTCAGAATCATCCTAAAAAATGATCTTATCATCAAGATATAAGAGACAAATAATCTAACCAACAGAAGTAGAACAAAGAAAAAGAGCATAACCATGATCACTAACACGAAAACCAAGTCAAGGATCGAAATATCGTTTCAAAGTATTATTTCGGCCAGCTCGAAAATGAAAATGTTTCAAAAATGCCGAAAAAACGAAGAAAAAATATGAAAACACGTGAAAACACAAATACAATTCATTTATTTATAAAGATAAACTTAAAAATTGATTAATTGAATGTGTTTATTGGGTTAACATCCATTTATACAAGATAACATCAAATTGGGAGGAAAAAAAAAGGATTGACATGAGGCAGAAATAAGTTCAACTAGTTTTAAACACTTAATTTTCATCAAGCAAATACATTTTTACATAATAAATACAAATTTATTGTTTGCATGCCAGTATAATACAAAATTGCTAATTTAAATTGTGTCATCAAATTACAAAGTAATATTATTAGATTAATATTAAAATCATTGTATAAATATTTTTTACACACATAAATACTTAATTTCATATATTTAACAAACAAGGTATATAATAATAATATATAAGAATAAAAGAAAATAGGAAAAAAAAAGAGAGGATTATAATAAGGGTTATTAATAATAATAAAAGAAAAAAAAGGGGGGGGGAAGGGAATTAACCAGATATAAAAGGCATTAACACCTTCTCACAATCTCAAAAGAACTGAAAGAGAGGGAGAGAGAACAGGCGCCGAGTCTGAGACGCAGACTAACGAGAGAGAGAAGATCTAAGACTCATGGAACACCGTAAGCCTTGCCAGCCCTATTCTCATTCCAAATTTGCAAATCGGGAGAAAGATGGTGCAATACCCATCCAAGATCTGTAGATTTGACC